GAATAATTAAATGTACATATTCCCTCATCTAAGAAATATAGACAGATACAAAAGACAATCATTATCGAACTCTCGTAAATCAATATTGTTTATATTAATCTGAGAATAGTCGATAATATTTGAATAACTAATAATAATAATAAAATAATAATAACGACTGTTTTTTTATAGACATTTTTTTTTTTGAAAGTGAATATCAAAAATTTTGCTGAGAAATTTAGAACTTTATTTTGAAGCCCAGTACGCATTCAAATCTTCTAGCAATACAAATAATAATAATAATAATAATAATAATAATAATTGGAAACTAAGAAAAAAGAAAAAGCAAAGGCAAAAAAAAAAAAACAAACATTAAAAAAAACACAAAAAAAAAAAAACAGGCATTAAAAACACAAAGTTAAAATACTGAAAAATTAAAAACTTAAAAACTACAAGAAATCATACTTATTATAAAACCTAGGTTGTGTGTGTGTGTGTGTGTTTATATATTGGATCGGATTTCCTACATTTTTTTTGATTTCAACAAAACTTCACAGGACTACGTAAAATTACCTTGCGGTGTTCTGACAGTGCCCAAAAACTGGAAAAACACAATTGTTTTTGCTGAAATCAATTTGAAAACACGATTAAGTCATTCCAGAATGAAAGGGGAGAACTCATATCGAGTTATAATTTATTATAAAACCAAGTTGTTTGTTTTGTGTGTGTTCGTTTATATATGGGATCGGATTTTCCTACATTTTTCAATTCAATTTCAACAAAACTTACTTTTTTTGGCAGTTAGTGTTTCTTATTGTCTTACACACTTTTTTCTTTATTTCTATATTCAGAATGCTTTAAAACATTCCATTTTACAAGACAATTGTTTATAATAAAATTTTATTCAATCGGTAGACTCATAACGATTAAAAACAATGTTTTGTTTGAGTTTGGGTTTGACCAAATTGTTTGAATTAAGACTGTCCGTAAACCTTAACAATTTCTTTATTAATTTTATAAAAACTTGATCTATCTCTTTACTGTTAATCCTGGAACAAACGTTGAGTCTACTACTGGTATCAAATAAATATCAATACATATTGTATATATAAATATAATTATATATACGAATAAAATATCTATTATAAATATACATGGTGTTCAGTCAAAATGTAATTTAAAATGTGAATATCTGAAAAAAGTAACTACTCATTCCCGACAAAACGAAATTAAATATTCATGTTGAATAATGTATATATATATATATATATATATATATATATGTGTGTGTGTGTGTGTGTGTGCGTGTTATCAATACGAAAAATGTATAGACAGAACTCTGTTAGGGTAAATAATCCAGAAGTTGTTAAATATATTATATTTATTTATTTAAAAATATGATTCTTTAGCTTAAATAAATCAAATTTTAAATATATATATATATATATAAAGCAAAATAAAATATGATAATAATAATAATTACTGTCATTTCGCGTTCGGGACGTATGAAAACTGATAATCCCAGGAAACCGACACATCCCGACACTGGCAAATAATTTAAAAATAGTGGTGAACCTGTGCAAGACCATTTACACTTTTTGGATGGGACGAATACAGAAACCTGGTGCACTCGAATGCATGGATCTATAATTTAAACGACCCTCCGCAAACTTTGGACTTCAGAGTTGTCCTTCTCCTAACCAGTTGCCATCTTTGGCTATAGAAAAAAGTCTTTCCTGCTATCATTTACCCATAGCTGGAGGGAGACAAGAGGATAAAAGATTTTTGGGTGGAACTGTAACGTAAGTGAATGTAATGGATTCGATCTAAATGAATTTGTCTATTTCATAATATATATATATATATATATATATATATATATATATATATATATATATATATTAAATAGACAAATAATTAATCATGTTTATACATTCTTTTATGATACAAATATTTATAATGTCCCATTTTCCAAGGCCATGTAAAAAATGTTTTAATACTATTTATTATAAAAATTATAGCAAACTATTTAAATATTGCTGTAATTATAAAAATAATGTAAAAACAAAATGAAAATATCATAAATATATATATATATATATATATATTATATATGGCTGCATTTCAAATTTTTTATAAAGTTTGATTACAAATGCTTCAGCTTTTCTACTCAAGATAGTCGCCACCTTTGGACACGACACGCGTAAAGTTTTTCTATACATGTACCAAACATGCAATAAATGTGATGCTTTTACTGGGCCTCCAGTACCTCAGTGATTCTCTGCTTAATTTCCTCTAGGCTTGTAGGAGGAGTGGTGATAAGACCTATCCTTTCACATATTTGAATTTGCATTCATTACAAGGTGTCAATTCAGGTTTATGTGGTGGCCATTTCAAAAGAATATTGTCATTATCACTGTCATGCCTGTTCCATCTTCGACTTGTTTTTGATTTTTTTAATTTGGAGGTATTTATTAGAATTGTCTATGACGTGATTAGATGACAAAATGATGTCTCTTATTTTTTACAATCCGCTTTATATATATATATATATATATATATATATATATATATATTCTATATAAAGAAAGAACAGTAAGATATATAATCAATTTCTTAAAGATAATTTATTCACAAAATATATTTAATTAAATTTGTTATGTTTTAATCATTATAAACTTTAGCCTTTTCAGGGGGCTGTCTTATTATAGTGCTTTGCATGTTTAAAAAATTTTTGAAACATCTTGATTGTTGAAAAAACAATTTAAAAACAATTAATTATAATATTCTTCTATATATATATATTATATTTTTTTACATTTAGAAAAAAGGAAGAACGGGGAGACCAATAATCCGGATTTGTTCAGTATTTTGAAAGATTTAAAAAAACTGATGGAGTCCAAGGATGAAAGTAGACTTAAATTGGTCAAGGTATCTGGAGCCGTTGATTGACATTATATTTGAATAGTTGGAAAAAAACCTATCAGGGAAACAATTAAATTAAATTGAATTACAGATGGGAGGTGTGTTTACTTTTAATTTATTGGATTAGAAGGGCCATATGGAGGCTTTTGACAGTGTTTTGAAACATGATGCCTTATATAGCATGTTTAAATTCAGCAGTCTTATAAAATGGTAATTATATATATATTGTAAAAGTATTTGTAGAAAAAAGACAGATATATAACATACATATATATATATATATATATATGAGATATATATAGACCAACCATATATAAGAATCGTTTCTGGATCTTTAGGGACACATGCATAAAAAAGCAGGGGACACCAGACCATATGACCTTGATAATTCCTAAAAGAATGAATGGGAAGATTTGAAGGAAAACAGGTGAAAGAAGAAAAAATGAAAGACAAAGTTAACCAACAGTACTGTGTCAATCGTCTGAAGCAAATCCAAAAGAGAATGCTGTCTCAGGTCAATATATATGTGAGACCAAGCAGTTGTAAATAGGTATATACATATATATTGAGCATGTCAGACATTCTAATGGGCAGCAGGGATGGTTCCTATAGTGAAGTAATACAGAGCAGTTTTGTTTTTGGAGGCATTAAAGTTAACCAGCCAATTCCTGCCCTGTTTCTACAACTGATTGGATGTCCTTTTTCGAGACGAACGCCAGCTTAGTTTTGTCCATGACACTAGATTTGTTTTGAGGCAGGAGAAATAGTAGTGTCGTCAACATGATGCCTAGGAATCTGATGACGTTGGGGAAGATCGTTAATGAATATAAGGGAACAGAGTAGGGCCTAGGATGGAGCCTTGGGAAACACCTGCGTCCGTGGGATAGGAGCTGGAGGAGAACATGAGAACGACCTTCAATACATTTGACAGGAATGATCATATTAAGTCAAATAATCGACATTCCATAACCCTTAATCTTACGAAGAAGGCTGGCATGCAAACCCTATCAAACGCTTTAGAGATATCTAGAGCCACGGCACGAGCTTCTTCGTTATTATGAAGTGCTTGGTAAACAATTTCAGTTATGGCCATAAGCACATCAGCTGTACAACGGGCAAAGCGGAAACCATATTGCTTGTCGGAGATAGGGATGTAAGGTGCTTAACCACGTTGATTAAAGCTTCGAAGAATTTGCCGAAGAGGGGTAGGAGACTGATAGGACGGTAATTAGAAGAGTCAGAAGGGTCACCAGAATTCTTAAAGACAGGAACAATGGATGAGGACTTCCAACAGTTTGGAAAACAAGATTCATTAAGGAAATTGTTATATAATTTGGAGAGGGCAGGGGCCAGATCAGGCACACATTTCTTCAGGACAATGGTTGATATACCGTCTCCACCATTAGCCTAATGGGGAGTCTACGAAATAATGCCAGTACCGATAGCGATATATACTTTGGGTTTATTGACTGGCTTTAATATCGTGTATTCTATGCATAAAGGACAGACCAAGAAAGGTTTGCCATATATATATATATATATATATATATATATATATATATATATATATATATATAAGAACCTACAAACAAAAAATTCTACCTCCTAAATTTTTTATAGAGAATGCCCACTTAGATATAAATTAGCAGTTATAAAACATTTCCTAAGAAATTCATTCTGTCGTTCACTTTTCCTTAAAGAACTCAATAATGTACAACAGACACTAGTTAAAAATGGTTTTCCTAACTACTTCAGTCGTACCAAATGGCAGTGAATTCTGGACAATGTCTTCACAAATGAAGAAGTGACATGAAGCAACAGAAATGTAGTTCTACAGAAGGATACTGAGCCGAACAAGTGAGCAACGATGAAGGCAATGGCAACACAAAGGACACATACTTAACATCAGGAGTCAGTTGAGGTTATTGGGATACATAAAGAAGAAGAAGAACAACAACAACAACAACAACCTTGGTTAAATGTTTAACAGAACAGTGATTAGGTGAGATTGCGAAAATACGCAATTTATCAAGAGCTACAAAGTTCATCAAATTTTGGAGAGCCATCATCGCCCAAGTCATGTTAGGACACCGCACATAGAAGAAGAAGTAGAAGAAGAAGAAGAAGAAGAAGAAAATAGAAAAAGGAGGAGGAGGAAATGGTGATGAGGACATAGGAAGAAGATGGTGTGGTATCAGTGAAGAAGAAGAAGAAGAAGAAAGAAGACGATGAAGAAAGAAGAAGAAGAAGAAGAAGAAGAAGAAGAAGAAGAAGAAAAGAAGAAGGATACAGAAAAAGAAAGAAGAAAAAGAAGAAAAGAAGAATGGATACAGAAAAGAAGAAGAAAAAGAAGAAAAGAAGAATGGATACATAGGGAAAAGAAGAAGTGAAGAAGAAGAAATAAGAAAGGAAGAAGAAGAAGAAGAAAATAGAAAGATGATGAGGACATGGTGATGGGACATAGGGAAGAAGGTGGTAGCAGTGAAGAAGAAGAAGAAGAAGAAGAAGAAGAGAAGAAGAAGGAAATAGAAAGAGGAGGAGGACAATGAAAGGACATAGGGAAAAGATGAGGAAAGGAAGATGAAGAAGAAGAAAATAGAAAGATGAGGACATGGTGATGGGAAGGGAAGATGGTGGTAGCAGTGAAGAAGAAGAAGAAGAAGAAGAAGAAGAAGAAGAAGGAAAAAATAGAAAGGAGGAGGACATAGGAAGAAAAGAGTTGGTAGGTGAAGAAGAAGAAGAAGAAGAAGTGGGGACAGAAGAAGAAAGAAGAAGAAGAAAATGAAGATGGGGAGGACATGGTGAAGTGGGGAAGAAGATGGTAGCAGTGAAGAAGAAGAAGAAGAAGAAGAAAAAATAGAAAGAGGAGGAGGACATGGTGAGAGGGACATAGGGAAGAAGATGGTGATTGAAGAAAGAAAGAAGAAGAAGAAGAAGATAGAAAGGTGGACATGGTAATGAGGACATAGGAAGAGAAGAAGTTGGTGAAGAAGAGAAGAAGAAAGAAGAAGAAGAGGACGAAGAAGAAGAAGAAGAAAAGAAAATAGAAAGAAAGAGGAGGAGGACATGGTAATGAGGAAATATAGAAGAAGAAGAAGAAGAAAAGGAAATAGAAAGGAGGGGAGGACATTGTGATGAGGAGGAAGAAGAAGAAGAAGAAGAAAGGAAAGAAGAAGAAGAAGAAGAAGAAAATAGAAAGAGGGAGGAGGACATGGTGATGAGGACATAGGGAAGAAGATGGTGGTAGCAATTGGGAGAAAGGAAAAGAAGAGAAGAAGAAGAAGAAAAGAAAATAGAAGGACATGGTAATGAGGACAAGGAAGAAGAGGTTAGGAGCAGTGAAGATATAGAAGAAGAAGAAGAAGAAGAAGAAAATAGAAAGAGGAAGAGGACATGGTGATGAGGGACATAAAGTGAAGGGGAAGAAGAAAATAAGAAGAAGAAGAAGAAGATAGAAAGAGGAGGAGGACATGGTGATGAGGACATAGGGAAGAAGAAGGTGGTAGCAGTGAGAAAGGAAGAAGAAGAAGAAGAAGAAATAAATTAGGGACATGGTGAGGAAAGAGGACATAGGAAGAAGATGGAAGAAGAAGGAGAAGAAGAGGAGGACAAGAAGAAGAAATAAAATTAGTGAGGACATGGGAAAGAGGAGGAAAAGATGGAAGGGGGAGAAAGGAAGGAAGAAGAAGAAGAAGAAGAAGAAGTGGAAGAAAAAATAGAAAGATGAGGAGGACATTGTGATGAGGACATAGGGAAGAAGAAGAAGGTGAAGAAGAAGAAATAAAAGAAGAAGGAAATAGAAAGAGGAGGAAGAAGAGGAATGTGGACTTAGGGAGAAGATGGGAAAGAAGTGGTGAAGAAGAAAGAAAAATTAGAAGAAGAAGAAAACAGAAAGAGGAGGAGGACATGAAGAGGAAGTGGCTTAGAAGAGAAAGGGAAGAAGAAGAAGAAGAAGAAGAAGAAGAAGAAATAGAAGAAGAAGAAGAAGAAGAAGAGGGACATAGGAAAGAAGAAGAAGAAGAAGAAGAAGAAGAAGAAAAAAGAAAAAAAGAGAAAGAAATGAGGAGGACATGGAATGAGGACATAGGGAAGAAGAGGAAGTGGCTTTAGTGAAGAAGAAGAAGAAGAAGAAGAAGAGAAGAAGAAGAAGAAGAAGAAGAAAATAAATAAAAGAAGAGAGGACATAGTGATGAGGACATAGGGGGACATGGTAACATGAAGAAGGAAGAAGAAGAAGATAAGAAGAAAAGAAGGGGAAGAAGGACCTGAAGAAGAAGAAGAAGAAGAAGAAGAAGAAGAAGAAGAAGAAGAAGAAAATAGAAAGAGGAGGAGGACATGGTAATGAGGACATAGGAAGAAGATGGTGGAAGTGGTGAAGAAGAAGAAGAAGAAGAAGAAGAAAAGAAGAAGAGGGGAATGGAAAGAGGACATAGGGAAGAAGATGGTGGAAGTGGAAGAAGAAGAAGAAGAAGAAGAAGAAGAAGAAGAAAATAGAAAGAGGAGGAGGACATGGGAATGAGGACATAGGGAAGAAGATGGTGGTAGAGTCAAGAAAGGAAACAAGAAGAAGAAGAAGAAGAAGAAAATAGAAAAGAGGAGGGACATGGAAGATGAGGAAGGCATAGGGAAGAAGATGGTGGTAAGAAGAAGAAGAAGAAGAAGAAGAAGAAGAAGAAGAAGAAAATAGAAAGAGGAGGAGGACATGGTGGATGAGGACATAAGAAGAGAAGATGGTTTAGAAGAAGAAGAAGAAGAAGAAGAAGAAGAAGAAGAAGAAGAAGAAGAAGAAGAAGAAGAAGAAAAAAAGAAAGAGAGGAGGACATGGTAATGAGGACATAGGGAAGAAGATGGGGAGAAAGGAAATGAAAAGAAGAAGAAGAAGAAGAAGAAGAAGAAGAAAAAATAGAAAGAGAGGAGGACAAGTGATGAGGACATAGGGAAGAAGATGGTGGTAGCGGGTGAAGAAGAAGAAGAAGAAGAAGAAGAAGAAAATAGAAGAGGGAGGAGGACATGGTGAGAGGACATAGAAAGAGGAGGAAGGAAGAAGAAGAAGAAGAAGAAGAAGAAGAAGAAGAAAAGAAGAAGAAAGTGGAGGACATGGTAATGAGGACATAGGAAGAAGAAGAAGAAAAGGAAGAAGAAGAAGAAGAAGAAGAAAAAGAAAGAAGGAGAAGAAGAAAGAATAGGAATTAGATAGAGGACAAAGGGAAGAAGGGGTAGAAGTGGGAAGAAGAAGAAGAAGAAGAAGAAGAAGAAGAAGAAGAAGAAGAAAATAAAGAAGAAGGGAAAAGGACAAAGAGGAGGAGGACATGAGTGAAGAAGGTTTAGGGGTGAGGAAATAGAAGAAGAAGAAGAAGAAGAAGAAGAAGAAGAAGAAAGAAATTAGAAGAAGAAGAAGAAAAAAAAATAGAAAGAAGGGAGACATGAATGAGGACGGAAGAAAGAAGAAGAAGAAGAAGAAGAAAAGAAGAAGAAGAAGAAGAAAATAGAAAAGAGGAGGAGGACATGGTGATGAGGACATAGGGAAGAAGATGGTGGGAGAAAGGGGGTAGCAGGAAGAAGAAGAAGAAGAAGAAGAAAATAGAAGAGGAGGACAGAAGATGAGGACATAGGGGAGAAGAAATATAGAAGTAAAGAAGGGAAGAAGAAGAAGAAAATAGAAAGAGGAGGAGGAAGGTAATGAGGACATAGGGAAGAAGATGGTGGTAGCAGTGAAGAAGAAGAAGAAGAAGAAGAAGAAAATAGAAAGATGAGGACATGGGAAAGTGGAGGACAAGAAGGGAAGAAGATGAAAGGAAAAATAGAAGAAGAAGAAGAAGAAGGGAAAGAAGAAGAAGAAAATAAAAAGAGGAGGGAAGAGATGGTAGAAAGGAGGAGGAAGAAAGATGGTGGTAGCTTAGTGGGAAGAAGAAATAAGAAGAAGAAGAAGAAGAAAAAATTAGTGGAAATAGGAAAGAGGAGGAGGACATGGGAATGAGGACCACAGGGGAAGAAGATGGGTAGAAGAAGTGAAGAAGAAGAAGAAGAAGAAGAAGAAGAAGAAAGAAAGAGGAGGAGAAGAAAATAGAAAGAGGAGGACATGAGGAAGAGGACAAAGGGAAGAAGAAGAAGAAGAAGAAGAAAGAAGAAGAAGAAGAAGAAAAATAAAATTAGAAGAGGGAAATAGAAAGAGGAGGAGGAAGAGGAAGTGGTAATGAGGACAATATAGGGAAGAAGAAATAAAATGGGAAGAGTGTAGAAAGAGGAGGTGAAGAAGAAGGGCTAAGAAGAAAGGAAGAAGAAGAAGAAGAAGAAAAAAGAAGAAAAAGAAGAAGAAAGAAAGTGGAGGGAGGACATGGATAAGAAGAGGAAGTGGTTTAGGGAGAAGAAGGAGAATATAGACAAGGTGATGAGGAAGAAGAAGGAAGAAAGATGGGAGGGGAAGAGTACGTGAAGAAGAAGAAGAAGAAGAAGAAGAAGAAGAAGAAGAAGAAGAAAAAATAGAAAAGATGAGGAGGACATGGTGATGAGGACATAGGGAAGAAGAAATAAAATTGGTGAAGAAGAAGAAGAAGAAGAAGAAGAAGAAGAAATAGAAAGAGGAGGAGGACATGGGGATGAAGACATAAGGGAAGAAGAAGAAGAAGAAGAAGAAGAAGGAAGAAGAAGAAGAAGAAGAAGAAGAAGAAAGAAGAAGAAAGAAGAAGAAGAAGGGAAAAAAAGAAAGAAAGAGAGGACATAGGGAAGAAGATGGAGGTACGGTGAAGAAGAAGAAGAAGAAGAAGAAGGAAGGGAGGGAAAACAGAAAGAGGAGGAGAAGAAGAAGAAGAAGGAGAAGAAAATAGGAGGAAGAGGAATGGTGATGAGAAGAAGAAGAAGAAGAAGAAAATAGAAAGAGAAGAGGAAGAAGAGATGGGAAGAAGATGAGGACATAGGGGAAGAAGATGGTGGTAGTGGTGAAGAAGAAGAAGAAGAAGAAGAAGAAAATAGAAAGAGGAGGAGGACATGGTGATGAGGACACATAGGGAAGAAGATGGTGGTAGAAGAAGAAGAAGAAGAAGAAGAAGAAGAAGAAGAAGAAGAAAAAAAGGAGGAGGGGAGGAGGACATGGTGATGAGGACATGAAGGGAAGAAGATGAAGAAGAAGGTTGGGAAAATGGTGAAGAAGAAGAAGAGGAGAAGAAGAAGAAGAAGAAGAAGAAGAAGAAGAAGAAAAGAAGAAAAGATGAAGAAGGACATGGGTGGATGAGGACAAAGGGAAGAAGAAGTGGTAGCGGTGAAGAAGAAGAAGAAGAAGAAGAAGAAGAAGAAGAAAAAATAGAAAAGAGGAGGGAGTACATGGTAATGAGGGACATAGGAAGAAGATGGTGGTAGTGGTGAAGAAGAAGAAGAAGAAGAAGAAGAAAATAGAAAGAGGAGGGAGGACATGGTGATGAGGACATAAAAGAAGATGGTGGTAGAAGAAGAAGAAGAAGAAGAAGAAGAAGAAGAAGAAAAGAAAGAAGGAAGAAAGAAGGAAGAAGAGAAGACAAATAGGGAAGAAGATGGTGGTAGTGGTGAAGAAGAAGAAGAAGAAGAAGAAGAAGAAGAAGAAGAAAAAAAAATAGAAAGAGGAGGAGACATGGTAATGAGGACATAGGGAAGAAGATGGTGGGTGAAGAAGAAGAAGAAGAAGAAGAAGAAGAAGAAGAAGAAAATAGAAAGAGGAGGAGTACATGGTAATGAGGACATAGGGAAGAAGATGGTGGTAGAAGTGGAAGAAGAAGAAGAAGAAGAAGAAGAAGAAGAAAATAGAAGAAGAAGGAATAGAAGAAGACAGGAAGAAGAGAGGAAGAAGGAAGAAGAAGAAGAAGAAAATAGGGGAGGAGAAGATGGGACATGGGAAGAAGATGGTGGAAGAAGAAGAAGAAGAAGAAGAAGAAGAAGAAGAAGAAGAAGAAGAAAATAGAAAGAGGAGGAGTACATGGTAATGAGGACATAGGGAAGAAGATGGTGGTAGCGGTGAAGAAGAAGAAGAAGAAGAAGAAGAAGAAGAAGAAGAAGAAAATAGAAAGAGGAGGAGTACATGGTAATGAGGACATAGGGAAGAAGATGGTGGTAGCGGTGAAGAAGAAGAAGAAGAAGAAGAAGAAGAAGAAAATAAAAGAGGAGGGAGGAGATGGTAATGAGGACATAGGAAGAAGATGGTAGGGCTTAGAAGAAGAAGAAGAAGAAGAAGAAGAAGAAGAAGAAGAAGAAAATAGAAAGAGGAGGAGGACATGGTAAGAAGGGAAGAAGAAGAAAGCGGTGAAGAAGAAGAAGAAGAAGAAGAAGAAAGAAGAAGAGGAAAGGTGAGAGGAGGGAAGAAGATGGTGGTAAAAATAAGAAGAAGAAGAAGAAGAAGAAGAAGAAGAAGAAGAAGAAAATAGAAAGAGGAGGAGGACATGGTAATGAGGACATAGGGAAGAAGATGGTGGTAGCGGTGAAGAAGAAGAAGAAGAAGAAGAAGAAGAAGAAGAAAATAGAAA